TTTCACCTGCGACCCACCTCATAATTTCTTTAGTTTTCTGGGTAAAATGGTTTTCACACCGGAAGACTTCAATAAATTGCTGTTGCTTTAAAAAAAACCGTCTAAATTTCTCAAACTTGAAAAAACTATGACAAGTTTGGTAAAGAAACAGAAACAGCAATGGAGGAATCTACTGCTAAAGCTACCATGTCTGATTATTTTATACAGTTCGAGCTTTTTTTTTACATTTTTATAATGTATTATCTCCACCTTCTTTGAAAGCTTTCTTAAACTAATCACATTTCTGAAAACAGCAGTAAGCGTCTTCATTTTTTCGACATTCACTGCGCAGATTTTCGGTTACAAATCACAGATGAGCTAAGGTTTGACTGAGTAGAAGAAGCTGAAAGATGAGGAAGAAACGAAGATAAATGACGAGAAGGAAGAAGAGGAAGAAATGGAAATAGAAGGCATAGAAATTACTGAGGTATTTGAATGATTGGGAATATATTTTGTCTCTGAAGCTGATGCCAGTTTTGTTTATGCAGTAAAAAAAGAATTTCATTGCACAGTACTTTAAAAAAAAATTCTGTTCATTTTTTCGACAAATTTTTTTCATATGCATATTTATTGCCTGAACAAAAATCTTTTTTTTTTTTAGCAACATTTTTTGGCAGGAAAAGTGAACAATTTAACAGAAACTACACAACTTTCTTGTCGATACTTAGCACAACAAATCTTTGTGCATTAATCTATATATCTTACAGTTACAAAAAACATCAAAAAAAAAAATTTTTTTACCTTAAATATTTGTTTTAAAAAACCAAAAAAGTCTTATTTTTCTTTATATTTTAAATAATTGCATAAAGCTTTTTTTTTGAGTAGGGAAGTTATTAGACTTTCTTTCGATAATTTTTTTATTGCCGGCAAAACAATGTGTAATTCAATAAGCTTTTAAAAATTACAAAAAAATTTTGTTTTCATTTTTTCAATTCACTTAATAAATCTGCAAATTTCCACAATTTCATTGACTTCAACGGTGACGACAGCAGTAATAACGGCAACTGCAGCGACAGCAGCAGCAGCAGCAAAAACGACAAAAACTTCATGCTCAGTAGACCCCACTCAGTGCTGTTAGGCACAATCAAATTGTACGTATCGGTGGACATAGTTTTATTCGGTTACGTGCCAAACTGTACAACATTGTTCAAAACGTATCAGTGTCGTCATCCAAAACCAAAGCAACTAAAGCAAAAAAGAAAAAGTTATATGATACTGTTAAAAAATGGTAAATAAGTGGAAAATTTTTAATAGACAAAAAATAACACCTCAAATACATCAGATTTTTTGCTTCACATTCCTTTTTTTTTATGTCATTTAATTTTACCGTCTTCTTTCAAAATATAATGATATTATATTTAAAACGCTCTTATTTTACTTTCTATGAACAGAGTTTTTTCTTTCCAAAAAAAAGAAAAAAAGCTACTAAAATCAATCATTTTTAAGTTTCACAAAAATAACTTTATGCACAGACAAACTTATCCTCATGTAGAGTATGCATAAGTTCCTTTGGTGGATGAGCAATATCATTATACAGAATTTATTTTGGAGTGCAATAAATATGCTTCAAGTTGACGAGCACCGACGACAAAAAGACAAACAAGAAGCCTTAAACGGTACAAATAAAGTCAGTTTCCTACTCTTGTTTTCACTGTCTCTTATCTTGCTCCTCGTTCTTCCCTTTTCGTCCGTCTGCTATGCAGCTAAGTAGGAATCGACTTTCAAATACATCATACAATGCCAAAGTTACAAGACAAGAAAGGACTTTTGTTAGTGTAATCTAAA